CGTACGGGCTGGTTAGAGTATCAGTCCCCCAGTTGGACGACTCATCCCTAGCCACATGTACGTTTGAGGGCCGGATAATTGTGAGCTAGTCAACAATCCCCTGTTGGATTGTTTGCCCCAGTACATGATGTGCATCAGCATATGTACCTCCCCTGGGATACTGATATATGGAAATTGTGATATGGTCTGGATATGACGGAACCCGAGGCATCCTTGACGGGATGTTGCATTGATTGGGTAGTCTGCGCGCGTAGGATGGTTTTCAGACGTACGGGTCTTGATTCTTCGTCCGTACGGGCTGGTTAGAGTATCAGTCCCCCAGTTGGACAACTCATCCCTAGCCACATGGACGTTTGAGGGCCGGATAATTGTGAGCTAGTCAACAATTCCCTGTTGGATTGTTTCCCCCAGTACATGATGATGGTGAGAGGTGGGTGTTATTATATATACACACACACATATATATATATATATATATATATACCCATTTATAGGCATACATATTACGTATATGTGTACGTGATTTTGATTTGGGTTAAGATCAATGAGATTGTGCTTTGTGAGCACTCTGTACATGCATGAACGTGTAAGCCCTGGATTGGGGAGTGTTGTACGGCAACATACGCCTTGGATAGGGTATGGTTTTGGAATGAACTGATATAAAGGGATGAAATCGATAATGTGTTCATTGTGTTTTGTCGGAATGGGAGTAGTGATAAATCTAAATTGTATTGTTGGTTCTGCTTTAAATAAATGTATATTATCGGAGTTGTGACTGTTGAGATGAGAACTACGTGTGGCTTGATCTCTTGTCCAAGGGTACGTAGGCAGCCTAGGGTCTCACCTAGGTGCAGCCGCGAATTATTATTGTGTTTAAAAGGTTTGATCGATTCGATGTATGTGATTGGATTTCTGATGTGGTTTTCAAGGTGATTGTTGGATTTGAATCCGTTTTAATGATTTATGTGGTATTTGTAAAGTTGTTTGAGTTCATTAATTACATCGTTTATGTATTAATTGACTAAAGAACATTGTTGGTTCTATTTCGAATTATCTGAAGGCCGGAGGCTTATTATGTGTTTGCATGTTGATAACTTGTGCCTGATGCCAGTTGGGATTAAATTGTGAATTTTTAACAGGTTGAAATTTGGGAAAAGTCAAATTTTCAGGGGAGACTATTGAAATTTCAGCAAAAAGTCTCGATTCTTAGTAAGTGGGCCCGGCATTGGTGTGATGTCGAAAAATTTCCACAGGATTAGTCTCGGGTTCCGAGGAATTCGGGGCGGGTCTGTCACTCTCTCTCTCAGGTATCTTACAAAATTGGGCCCTCCATCTCTCTCTCTCTCTCTCTCTCTCTCTCTCTCAGGTAACCACTTTCACAGTAGATCATTCAATCCAAACTTAAAACCCAACAACAGCAAAAACAGAGGAATAAAGAGAGATGGGTAAGTACATGAAGAAATCTAAAATCTCAGGTGACGTCGCCGTGATGAAGGTCTCCGTTTCACAACAGTCTTCTTTTGGCTGGGCTGAGTCTTTTGAGTGGAGAGAAGAAGAGAATTTTTTTTTTAAATAAAGGAGAGATAGAGAATGACAGAAAGAGGAAGAAGAAAATGAAAAAAGGAGAGCTGGAGAGATGGGGAAAGAAGAAGAGAAAAAGAGAGAGATGGAGAGAAGGGGGAAAGAAGAAGAAAAAAAGTGAAGTCACGGAAAGAGAATGGGTTGAAGGGAAAATAATATTAAAAAAGAGAGTGGGAAAGATGGAGAGATAAAAAATAATAGAAAAAAAGAAAAGAAGAAGCATCTGTTTGGTGTTAGGAATTAAGATATGTTTTAAAAAAACATTTTGGACAAGTACAAAAATAACCTCCTTAACGGGTGGATGCGAATATTCACGAATTGACCCGACACGACCCGTTAGCTTAACAAGTGGCTAACGGGTTCACTCGTTTTCAACCCGACCCATTAAGCTTAACCCAAATACTGATAATTTTGTGTGAATTCGTGTCGTGTTAACGGGTCATGTGTAATATTGCCAGGTCTAATACTAGGAATCCAACTACCAATCAAAGTACATTATAAAATGCCTTTAGCTTTCTTGTTTTTTTTGTACTTTTATTTTGCTGTTGAAATTCGATTTGGATTTTTGTTTTCTTCTCCCGGGCGCTCCACTGAAATAGAGTATTTCTTTTCTTTTTGTATGGAGCGCATTTGACGGTGGAAGACTAGAAGTCTACCACTAGAAAATTTCCTTGCATTAGGATTTGGTTTTCTTCGAAGCTTCTTCCCATAGATTTGTTGGTCATTGTGTATGGAAACCTCCCAATAAATTCCAAGTCAAAAGCAAAGGTTTGTATGTAAAGCGTGTAAAAGGAGGGCTACTGTGCTGTCACTCCCACATGCCCTTTTCTTTCTTTTAGTATGGGTCTTTAGTGGGGCAATTATTTCACTTCTACTTTTTTCATCCCTGATGATTTTCCTGGATCCTTCCGTAACTTCGTGCATAAACTAAAATCTGATCTAGCTTAGTCTCTGCAATCAACTGCTTTCTATTCTCTTTCTTTCTAACAACAAAGGCAACAAATATCTCAAACTGGCAGTGGAAACTTACGTGTCTTGCTTAATTGGATTCTCAATACTCACGAACACAAGGCTATTAATTATAGTTGTGGTGCATTGAGAGAAAGAGAGATATGGGATGCATTAACATGTGGTTGAGATCATTACCATCTTCTTCTACTACTACTTCTTCTTCTTCTGTTGCTGCTGCAGATACTGATATCACCCCTCTTCAAGAAAAGTATGATGTGTTTATTAGTTTCAGAGGTGAGGACACCCGCCGTACATTTACCAGCCATCTCTATGATGCTTTATGTCTGAAGAAAATCGAAACCTACATAGATTACAGGCTCGTGAGAGGAGGTGAAATTGCTCCTGCCCTTCTCGAAGCAATCCAGAGATCAGCAATTTCGGTAATCATTTTCTCAAAAAACTATGCTTCTTCCACTTGGTGTCTAGATGAACTTGTGCATATACTAGAATGCAAGGAAAAAAATGGCCAGGTTGTTATACCCATTTTTTACGACATCGTGCCATCAGATGTACGGAAACAACAGGGGAGTTATGCACTTGCATTTCGTCAACTTGAAAAATGTTTCAGGGACTCTATCAACAAGGTGCACAAGTGGAGGGCTGCTTTGACACAAGCAGCCAATCTATCTGGTTTTGATGATTCTGAAAAAACAGAGTAATTAACTGCAACTTATATTTTGATTTGTACTTATGACTATTTGATTACGCAGGCATACTTACTAACAATTTGTTTGTATGTCCTTGACAATTATATGTGCCAGGTCGGAAGCCAGTTTGGTTAAGAAAGTTGTCCAAGATATTTGGACCAAATTGAACAGCGAATCATCAAGTGATTTAAAGGGCCTGGTTGGAATTGAAAGGAAAATTGAGAAAATTGAGTCCTTATTATGCTTGGATTCACCATGTGTTTGCTGTGTAGGTATTTGGGGAATGGGTGGTATTGGCAAGACCACCCTTGCGGATGCTATATTTCACAGGCTGTCCTCTAAGTTTGAAGCTGCTTGTTTTCTTGCAAATGTTAGGGAGAAATCAGAACAAATGGATGGACTGAATCAGTTGCGAAATAAACTTCTTGGTGAGATATTAAAGGAAAAAAATCTAAATATCGACACTCCGTCTATACCACCTAATATTCTAATTAGGCTCAGGCGTACGAAGGCGCTCATTGTTCTTGATGATGTGAATGCTGCAAGCCAACTAGAAGTTCTTGTTGGTTATCATGATCAGTTTTGCCAAGGAAGTCGAATCATTATAACAGCAAGAGATAAAGGCCTACTTGAGCAAAAAGTTGACCATGATAAGATATACAAGGTCGAGGGATTAAGTTCAGATGAAGCTCTTCAGCTCTTTCATTCGCATGCTTTCAGAAATAAGTCTCCAACAACAGATTATAGTGAGTTGTCAAGAAAGGTGGTGCATTATATTAAGGGCATTCCATTAGCTCTTAAAGTTATGGGGTCCTCATTCCTTCCTTTCAAGAGTAAACAAGAGTGGGAAGATCAACTGAACAAATTGAAACGGTTTCCAATCGAAGAAATCAAGAGAGTGTTGAGAGTAAGTTACGATGGATTAGAAGAAAATGAGAAGGAGATATTTCTTGATATAGCATGTTTTCATAAAGACCGTAAAAGGAAATATGCAAAAGAGTTATTAGATAGTCGTGGTTTCTGTGGGGAAGTCGGAATCAAAGTTCTCATTGATAGGTCTCTCATATCAATTTCAGAATGGAACTGCATAGAGATGCATGATTTGCTGCAAGAAATGGGTAGGGCAATTGCTTGCGGACAATGTTATGAAGAAAGTAGTAGGTTGTTCATTGCAGAGGATGTCTATCAAGTATTGACAAATAACCAGGTAGTTTAATTATGTTATATTCACTTTTACAATAAACAAGATCATATTCCTAAAAATGTGATTTTGATTGAAATTCACATTTATACTTTGCTCTTGATTGCCAGAGAGCTACATCTGTTCAAGCCATATCCTTTGACTGGTCTAAGATTGAAAAGCTAAACTTGAATCAAGCGAACTTCAAAAAGATGTATCAACTGCGATGGCTACGTGTTGGTTATCTTCCGTTGAGCTTTCCAAGTTCCGGTCAATCTAGGTTTCTCGAGAAATGCACATTAATTGTTTCTCTTGATTTGCCCAATTCTCTTAGATATCTTGACTGGGAGGGATATCCTTTGAAATGTTTGCCATCAAGATTTTCTCCGGTAAATCTTGTTGAGCTTCATTTGCCGTTCAGCCAAGTTGGGCCACAACTTTGGAATGAAGACCAGGTATATATGCTTATTTTAGTTCTTGTATAACATGCAAGCTAAGTTATTAATTCTTGTCATTTCTCTTTCTTTTGTCACAGAATCTTATCAACTTAAAAGTGATCAGTCTTCAACACTCCAAACATCTGATTGAAGTTCCAAATCTCTCTCGGAGTCTAAAAATTGAGCATATAAATCTTTTTGGCTGTGAAAGTTTGGTTGAAATTCCTTCGTATTTTCAATATCTTGAGAAGCTTACTTATCTTGGACTTGGATACTGCAAAAATCTCAAATATCTTCCGGAGATGCCATGCAATGTTAAGTTCTTAGATTTATCTCATACAGCAATAAAGGAATTGCCTTCATCAGTTTGGTCCCACGAAAAAATTACTGACTTTGATGTTACAAATTGTAAAGACCTTAAGAGTCTTCCAAGAAGCAGTTGTAAGCTGAATGTCTCGGGTACTTTTAGTCTACGTGGCTGCGAATCTCTTTGCGAGTTTTCGGAGCTTCCCAGAAATACAGTAGTGTTAGATTTGAGGGGGACAGCAATAAAAGAATTGCCCTCATCAATCGAGTTTGTCTTTGGTCTCACTACAATTAAACTGTACTCTTGCAAAAGCCTTATGAGTCTCCCAAAGAACATTTGGAATCTGAAACGCCTTGATCTCAGACGTTGCTCTAACTTTCAATACTTGCCAAAAATCTCAGAGCGTACGGAACATCTGGAGTTTCTAAATTTATCAAGGACAGCGGTTAAAAAGCTACCCCCATCGATTGGAAATCTAGTCGGGCTTCGAAAATTAGACCTCACTAAGTGCAGTATACAAGAAATCCCTGATGACCTCGTTTTCTTAACCTCATTGAAGGAGTTGAATCTGAATGATACCAAAATTCAGAGCATACCTGCAAGCATCAAACAAGCAGCTTGGCTGTCTCGCCTACGCCTCATCCGTTGCGATAGCCTGAAATCTTTACCAGAGCTCCCCCCCCTGCTGAAAAGTCTTGAAGTAGAAGGTTGCACATCACTGAAGACAGTGTCAAGTTCAAGCACTGCACTCATACAATGTTGGGACGAATATATATTTTCTCCAGGGCTTCATGAGAAACATATATTTCCTAGTTGCCCAAAGTTGGATCAGAATGCACGAAGCAATATAATGGCTGATGCACAGCTCAGAATTATGAGAATGGCAATTGCGTCGTCAACGTTTAAAGAAGACAAAATTGAAGATGCATCATATGATTCAGATGATTCCAATTATGAATATGAACCAGATAATACAAATGAATCAGAGGTCTATCTCTTTCTCTCTCTCTCTCTCTACCTCACACACACACTCTGTCTTTTTCACGAGTTTAATAACTATGATGTCTATGCATGGTACAGGGAAAGTTTCACAGGAGATCTTTAGTTGCCATTAAATGTTCGGGGTATGAAATTCCAAATTGGTTCAGCCATCAAAGTGAGGGATCTTCAATAAAGATTCAGCTTCCTCCTGATTGGTTTAGCACAGATTTCTTGGGTTTCGCTCTATCTCTTGTTATTGCATTCGACAACTATGATGCTAAATGGTATTTGAAGATCCGATGCAAGTACAACTTCAAAACTAGTAATGGTGAAAGCCATGAAATCAACGATCCTTTGTATTATCCTTATCCGTATGGAGGCAGTTTCCAAGATTCCCATCAGGTGTTTGTATGGTGGTATGATGTCTTTGAAGTTGTGAAGGGAGCTCAAAGGCCCACTGCATTTTACAAACTTGTTACTGAGGCCTCTGTTGACTTCAACTTAGTGAGTATTTTCAACGAGCCCTCTTTGGTGGAGGGATTGGAGGTGGAAAAATGTGGGATCTGTTTGTTATATGCCCAAGATGCTGATATCATAAAGCAGAGGACTTTGTAGGTCAAGCGGTTTATGAACTTTTATCCTAAATTCAAATTTCTTTTTGAGGTGCAATATCATTTTTATTTGAGCCTTTGGCTGAGGAAGCTTAGGGATGTATTTCTTGTTTTAACCATTCAGCCTCTCCATCACCAAGGTCGCTTGTACGAAAAATTAAAAAGTAGAAGAAAAACTAAATTTTAACTTCTTTTATGCGTACTCTATTAGAGGCAGAAATTGTGAAACACCCCAATTAATTGTTCATTAGGGGGGGAAGATGATAAGTCATTTATATATCATATAAATTTACTCTTTTCATTTAAATGTTGTATGCAAAAGTCGATTGTTCTATAGAGATCTTCACATATTCCAGCTTTTGTGTTTTCAGGAACTCTAAAATGCCAAAAATGGAGAAATTACTTTTTACTAGGAGATTTTGGATGAAACCACTTGGAGATCAAAGCTAAGAGGTCAAGAGACGTTGTATCAAAAATTGAGAGCTATTGGGCCAGCCAACTGTTCAGAACGAATTATTAAAGTCAGGGCATGTGCCATAAGGGCAGATTGTAGCTGTTGGGCTTGAGGACGATTTTAGTCAAGTTTATGGGATTTTTCTTGGAAAATATTTGTCATAAAAATTGTAGCTGACGTCAATACCTTTTCAACATCTTACACGTTCAATTTGGTGAAGATTAAGCCCACCAAAAGCCTAGAATCGGAATATCTGCTGTAAGCTGCAAAGAATTAGGAAAGCTGACTTGTACTTTATTTATTTATTTATTTCCTATTGGTGTTCATGCCTTGCAAGTTAAGTTATTTGAGGTTTACTAGGACTAGAAAAAGGTAGAGAGATCATATAAAAAGAAAAGCCTAGGTCAGAAAAAAGGACTTTGACGACCCGTTCATCAAGAGGAGAATACGGCTCTATGCGTGTGCGTGCGACCTTGTATTTCAGGGTTTCTTCTTTCACTCTTTCACTTTGTATTTTGGTAAAAAGTTAGGAGTTCAATAAAAGTGAAAAAAAAAATGTTTTGACAATTAAAAAGAAGAGGACACATGTCACTTTGTGATTGAGCCCCAATAGAAGGTAAGGAGGGAAGTAATGTTCATAACAAAATGTAATGACTCTTTGTAAATTAACATGTAGCTGGGGTTTGAAAAACGTGAGGTAGAAGTTCATGATCAAGTGAAGATGTTAATACTGAGGTGTGCAATCAAATATTTGCTACTGTAATGGGGTAAGAGAAGCGAAACGCTGTTTGTGGAATTATGGGATAGGGGTCCATTGGAAAAATGTGCCTAACATTAGAACCGAGAGTAGAGGAATTTCTAGGGAAGTTCAAACACTGTCAAAATTTCGACAGAAGTCAAATTGTCTATCCTTTAAAATTGGGGTTAAAGGACATTTTAGTAAAGTGGGTTTATCATAGGTTAGTTGTTGGACAGGAAATAGGGTTCGTCACAGATTTCGAAGGGGAATCCGGGACAGGTCTTGTCATTTACCCCAATTTTTTAGTAGTGAACCAAATGCAACCTAATTGTTTATAAATTATGGAAATTGCCCGATTTACTATATAAGTAGAAAAACTGAAACTAATTACTAATTTATGTCCAAAGTTGTCTTTTGAGGGAAATAATTGGTTGAGTGGCGGCATATGCTATGTTGTAAACAATTTCCACACAAGTAATTTTTTATATATTTTAATAAAAATAAATAAAATTTATTGATTTAACAGAATAGACTATTTGCAGAAAAAGAAAAAGAAAAAAAAAAAACTGGTCCTAAAGGCCAAGAGACACTAAAGGCAAAAGAACAGTATATAGCAATTTTATTTCTTCTTTTAAATAGTAATTTAAGACATATAAAATATAAATAGTTGTAGCTAGAAACATTGTTGTAAAAATATTGCCTTTATTTTCTAACCATATCATCATTATCTTTTTCAAGAAAAATCTTAGTCTTATTTGAATCGTACTCACTACTAAAAAAACACACACTAGGTACTGATCCAAATTTGTCCCCTAAGTTAAGTTTTGAGACAATAAATTGTCTCCATTAACTAATAGAGACTATGCAGCCACTATTTTTAAAATCAGTATCCTAGTTTGGGGTTGCTATTGTTTTTTGGGTACCATTTATTGAGTTAGTCCTTTCCTATTTTCCATTAAATAAATACCTTTTAAGATACAAGCCCTTTGAGTTAAGCCAAGCCATGTTCAATGGCTTCAAGCTTGGGATCTGATATTTGGAATGGTGTCTATTATATTAGGCACTAATCATGACATATCAGTTTGCAATTGTGTACTCTTCAAATAAGACAGATCTGAGTTTTAGTATCTTCTCCCTTAGAAACGCAAAAATATATCAGTTCATGTTGGTTCAATATCAGTCCCCATTGTATGAGTACCCATTTAATAACACCCTATCATACACTTAAAGCCATCAATTTCGATTTTTATTTGAAACGGTGTCTACCTTATCAGAGACGCATCATGATATGTCAGTATGCAATTGTGTACTGATGAACCAATACAAATCAATATGCATCATCTCATATTAGTATGCCATCAGTCCCATTACTTTGAAAAGTTGAAATTAATATGCACTTTGAATATTGATTTTTATTTAATAATCTGTAATTGTGAAATACAATTTGTGGGGCTGGTTAACTTATTGTACTATATTTAATTCCTCAAGGTTTGATCAACTGGAAAACTCTGGTACGCTCTATTGTGGAGGTTGGAGGAGCTGGTTCTCATATGCTCTGTTCCAACTATTTTATTTTGTAGATTGATGGTCTTCTCATCTAGCCTACTCAAGAGAATAGTCCAATGAACAGTTTCAAAAGTCGACAACAAAAACATATCCAAGTCACTCCATATTTGATGCTTGATCCTCATCTAGTCTTGTCTTTCCCTACAAAAGAAAAAGCATATGTTTTCTTTCATTGTGCAAGACAGGGGATAGATATATAGAGAGAAAGATGGGATAACCCAAAGAAAAAGAAGAGATTTTGGAAGAAAATAGCCAAAAAGATTCAATGTCATGACCCCAATTCCATCCATCATCATCTAACATCACCCCCCTCCTCAGACAAAGAAAAAAACATTGAAGAATTTATAGAAAGAACAATCAAACCATCTGGAATGTAGGTAAAGTATAATATTTTTGCATGCAAAGAATGTCACCCACTTTTTAAAACACCTTGTTTAGAACTAGAAAGAAATTGAAACATAGATCTTTCATAAAGACCGACCAACAAGAAAGAAAAAAATATCTTGTAGACGAGCTGGTTCATGCATGTTCATACCAAACTAAAGGTTCTTGGATTTTATAGAGACATTCTCCCGCCTATTTGAAATTTCGTATTTTGAAATCAGCTGGAAATAGTACTTATGCAGCCAATAAGGTTTTTTAAAGTTCTAATATGTTGTTTCACGGTTAAACATTAGTTTCTGTAGGAAAAGAGTTTATAAATGGAAGAGACTAGAAAAAGAAGTCAGTATCCAATTGAAGGCAAAACGCCAAGGCAGCTGAGTGAAGAGGAGGGAAGCCAGTTTGCAAAACAAAAAAGGGAAGCCAGCCAAAGCTTGGCTGATTTGTGAGTGGAGCCGAGCTTGTTTGACAAATTGGGACTGATAAAAGGCCCAAATATGAAGGGAAAAAAATGAAAATCACTTTATTTCTATTACACACCAAAATCTATCCCAAATATCATTAATAGGCATAATGGGAGAATTAGTTTCCAAAAATAAATCAAAAACTACTTTTATGTATTTGTATCTAGATAATCAGTGGGTAATGGCTGTTTTTCTAGTAGTG